TATTTTATTATTATATTACTGCATTGTCTCACTTTATTATACTCATTTTTACTTACAAGTTTAGCAATTAATTATCATTTATACTTCAGAACGCGTATTATTATGTATATATACGTGCACTGTCGTGCATGGCTTGCATATAGAGATGCAATATAAATAAAAGTCAATCGCTACTTGACAACATCTATGTCATAATTTTATTCGAACCTTAATTTATTCACATATACATTAATTTGAATTGCCAATTTGCAGGAGACACTTGACGTGACGAATATACTTCTAAATATCATATACTCACAATCAGAGCATGCCGCAGTATTCTAGAAGTAGTTTATAAAGCATTTGTATAATTATCACAACATACATTATATCATATATAAATTGTATGTAAGAAATGAGAAGAGGAGAATGGTGGAAGATAAAAAAATAATCACAGAATAAAAACTGCATAAGAGAGAATAAAAAATAGTGTTTTCGAGGATTTGCTAAATCAAGATTGCTAAATGAATAGGGATGTATTGTCTGATAATTTAGCAGCGGTTACATTATCAATTTGCTCTCATAATATTTTTCTTAAAAATATATTTATAAAATAATGTAACATAAATATCAAATTAATTTTCTGTCTGTATTATCATGCACGTTATAAAATAACGTAAATTACGTTAGAAACAAAATTCCAAATATTCAATCTACCTTTAATTGTATTACTTTTTTATTAGTATTCACACACGCGCGGTTTACATTTCTTTCAATTTTAATAAAAAAAAAAAAAAAAGAATATTTTCAAGGAATTCGTGGCACGTTTCGATGTTATCTGCGCAAATAAGCAACAGTAGCAGATAGCACGACTGAACTTATTTTCACCATATGAATTGTTTACAGACGAAGAATTTCCTGTCTGAATTTTCCACGACAGGATTAAATTGAAATCGATCGAGCATAAAATGCACATTAATCGTGCATTTTCCTATCCGTTGCGCGCAATTTTGATGATTGTCCATTTCACGGACCTACAACGAGCAATCTACAATAAAAGCTTGACCGCCGGGAGGGAAATATTACGCGCAAATATACACTTATACTTTCGCCACGATCACTGATCTAGACAATACGCTTTATATACGCTCTTACATAGGCTCCACGGCTATTTTTATTACCGGTGCTTCTTTTAATCATGCTATCGCCTAGGGCTAATTATATTTATTCGCTAGATATTGTACCGTCTACCTGGTCTCCCTTCTCTTTTTAGCGCTACAACCCTTTACTGGTCTACCCACCATCACCGCTACGTACATATGCATATTTGTATACACGCTACAATGGCGCCCCGTTTACTAGCTTAATTGTTTCCCTACAAAGTCTGTTATCTCTGTACAATGTAAGCGCACCGCTACTTGTGCCCACGCAATACTTATCATATATTTCAATGTATCCTACAGTATCATACAGAAAAGTTCACTATGTTAGAGCTGCGACGTATCGTTTCCTTCAGCGATCAGTTAAGCTGATCTTTGGACTTAAGTCTTATTAAGCGGAATATTGTTTACACTGATGTTATATCATCGCGTCGATCGTATCGAAGAATTTTTGATGCAAATCGTATTTTTTTTTTTTTATTGACGACGCACAGTTAATCATTAATCACGCTACGTCCTATCGCTAATTGTAACGACGCCAATGTTTTACATTCTAAATAGCCAAGATACAGAAGCGAAACGGTTTTTTTTTTCGTTATTGATTATTATCGCAACGATTTTTCCTCACATTCTTTTCCACGAAGAAATTATAATCGCATATCATTCTACTTTTAACGTGTAACAATATAATGAAGAAATGAGCGTAGCACGAAATTTTTCAAGGCAAGAAAAAGCATAATACAACTACATAGCTAAATTTACTCAAGTAATTTATATGCAGGGTTGGAAAGTAACGCCTTACATATAGCGCTGTTATTACAATTATTTTTTTCTGAATAATGGACTGATAACAGCGTTATCTTTTTTCAGTAACTGTGATAATAACGATAGCGTTACCTTTTCAGTAACGATGACATAATTACATTTTTTCAGCAATTTATAATGAATTAAACATTTTATTTTTATTGTTACTTTTTATATTTTGTATTTATTTATGACATAATTTTTATATATTCAATGTTCTTCGATCGATAATCTAATCGATAATCTAAATAATTGTTATTATATTTAAGTCTTAAGAATAGTTTATCATAAACCAATTACAAAAACAGATTTTATAAATATTGTTTTTTCAAAATTTATAAATAAAGAATTGTGAGAAGAAAAAAGTATAAATTTGGCTGTATTTATAAATTTAACGAAAACCACAATCTTTTTTATCTTGAGTATTTTAAAATCTTCTTAAATTTTTTTTTAAATAACAATAACGGTAACAAATTATTTTTAAAAAGTAATTTTTCCAACCCTGTTTATATGTTAGGAGCAAAATTTCAAATTGAAACGCTCTATTTGTGTTTCCGTAGATAAACGAGATGTCTTAATAAAATCCGTCATTTTGTTATTAAGATGACCTTAATACTTATAACGTATATAACTGATAAATATATTTAGCATAATAAAGAAACAGGATAATTCTCACTATTGGCAGTGAATTTCGGAAGATATCCAAAGTGCCAAAATGTCCCGGTGGCGACTTTAAAATGCCAAAAATGATCACGCAATGTGAATGAATATAAAATCTTATTCTTGGGACATTCTGTGCTTTCTATGGAAGAACATGACGCGTTTCTAGCGGCAAGTTACAGCAGAATTATTCGATAAAATTTACGAGCGAAGCGCAATTGCGTACGTATCAAATTATATAAAGATAAAAAACTATATGATAAAGGCTATAATACAATAAAAAGTTTGCTGTTGCTTCCGATCGATTGGCAACTAAAAAACGATATTTATTTATTGGACATTACTTCTAATCGCACATATTAGAAACGAGAGAAAGAGAAATATAACAAATAGGAAAAAATGTGTATTTTTTAATCAAACCGATATGAATTCGAATATTGTTATATATTATTAAATATCTTTTTTGTCTAACCTTGAAGCATATAACAAGTTTGTAGTTTTAAAGTAAATTATTTAAATTGGCAAAATGTCAAAATTTTATTTGAGTTATACTTAATCGAAAGCTGTCCTTATATTGATGATATTTAATTGAATATATGTGTATTGTCCTTTTTTCAAAATGTATATTGATAATTAAAAAGCAATTGTGGATGAAAAAATAATTATTTTTTATGTTTAACGAATTTAATGTTTAATGTATCTTATTATATATGATTGATGCAATATCTAAGTATTTACACATATATATATATATATATATATATATATATATATGTAAGTATTATTATGATTATAGGTCCAATTTAATACCACACTAATAAAATAATGATAGAAATGATAAAATGAGAAATTATAATATATCTTTTGAAATATATTCTCATATAATATAAATATAAAAATGTAAATCTCCGTCCACTTGTTTTCTCAATTGCTAATTAATTTATTAACTATTTATCGTTTATATGCCACTTACAAGCATTGCAGTTATCTTTAATTATATATATTTTTGATAAATTAGTTCTACTAATTAACAGAAATAATAATTTTGATTTCCTGCAATTGAATTTGTATGTATTTGATTCATCCGCATCGTATAAACAAAGATAATATAAATGTAATGCCTTTATGAATATTATTAAAAGATAACGAGATATATGAATATGAATTATTTGTTACAATTTGTATCCATTTGCATTTTATAATTTGCAACAATCGTGAGACTATTCACGTTTTTTGATAAGATGAAATGAAAAAATTAAATATTGTTGACAAAGATATCTTCAAAAATAAATAATATTACAAATAAATAATATTACCAACAAAGTTGTTGGTTGGTTGGTTGTTTGTTGGTAATTTCAAATAACTATTCATATTTGCGACACAATAATCATTACATATGCACAAACTTTTTAAATAAAATAAAATAAATAAAAAAAAATATATATATATATATATAATAAACATAGTTATATATTAATAATAAGAATATTGAATTTTTTAACAATTTAAAGTTAATTATTTGAACAAAAATAATTAATTAAATTATTAATTTTAATTATTTATTAAGACAATATCCTGTGTGTGTTGTGATAAACGCGAATATATTGTCACAAAACGTTAATCAGACATCGACGGAAGCTCGTTGAAGAGTACCGGATGTCATAAAATTCGAAGAGAAAAGGCCTGCGTATTAGGCCATCTCAAGGCAGTGTATATTCCGATCCACGAACGAGAGCCGTAAGAAAATCGTCAATTGTCCGGTACTTTTACGAAGGCAAGCTACCTCAAGCTGATTCGTTGTTCATAAAAAAAGAGGTAAAATAACTCATAAAATATTTGAATATCATATCTGGAATTAATAATGCAACGCGAAGACATTTCACGATTGCTGCATACAATAAAAGGGGACAGCCCTTTGTTGAAAGCAACTGACATTTTATGATATCAATATCTTATATTACTCAATATTTTCACTTTTCGTCTTTCGTGATGAACGATGTTTTTTCGTTCGATTTACAATAAATAGTTAAGATTAATAATACGATAAAATTACTCTATTTTAATAATAATTTTCTAGCAGCGTTTTTCACAATTTCTCTCTCTTTCTCTCTCCCCCCCTCT